GATATTTATGTTTTTTACTCACACAGTTAAGTTTAGCTAGTGGAATGTCTTACGAATCGAGATGTGGTGGTCAAGTATTCGCGCAAACTGGCCATTATCATGGTGTAGTGGTGCGAATAAAGGAATTGAAATTTTCGAAGAAGAAGGATACATCGCGTGATGTCATGAAGGAGATGCGTATTCTTCGTGATATCAGACACGATAATCTGAACTCATTTATCGGTGCGTGTGTAGAACCGATGAGGATCTTGCTAATTACCGATTATTGTGCCAAAGGAAGTCTTTATGTAAGTTTATCTAATATACTGCTTATTTAACATTATTAATTATTTAATCGTCATTATTTTAAACTTTTATAGGACATCATTGAAAACGAAGATATAAAATTAGATGATATGTTTATTGCGTCGTTAGTTCACGATCTCATTAAGGTAAGTGATCACTTTGATGGTCAGCATTCTGTTAGTTATGTGCTACGCTATCGTAGAGTGATTTTAGAAATGATTTCTGTCGTACAGGGTATGCTTTATATTCACGAAACATCAGTGTTATTCTGTCACGGTAATCTAAAATCTTCTAATTGCGTGGTTACTTCACGTTGGGTACTCCAAGTTTCTGATTTTGGTTTACATGATATGCGTCATTGTGCCGAGTCTGACAGCATTGGAGAACATCAGTATTTTCGAAGTAAGTTTAATAAAAAAAAATGACAAACTTTATTCAACGGAAAAGATTATTTAACGTTTAATTATTTCAGACCTATTTTGGAAAGCCCCTGAGTTGTTGAGGGATCCTAATGCACCGATCAGAGGCACTCAGGAAGGAGATATTTACTCTTTTGCTATTATATTATTTGAAATAATTGGACGAAAAGGACCATATGGAGGTGTTAATTTGGAACCCAAAGGTAACTATCACGATATTATAAAGAGATTTGAAACTGTAGTGATAGTCTGTTGTTAATCGGCATTTGCCAAAAGGTATAGCTGCAGAAAAAATAAATATGAAACGTTAACAAATTGACAGAAATCATAGAGCGAGTGAAAAGGTTCCCAGAAGATGGTGAACCACCGTTTAGACCTAACATAGAGATACTGTCCGAGTCTGAGGCAGATTGTGCTGAATATATCGTTAGTACTATAACCGACTGTTGGGCGGAAAGTCCAGAACTTAGGCCAAACTTCAAAACAATAAGGACAAGATTAAAGAAAATGAAAGATGGTCGTCATCGTAATATAATGGACCAAATGATGGATATGATGGAGAAATATGCGAACAATCTCGAAGATCTAGTCCATGAACGTACGCGTTTACTTTATGAGGAAAAACAAAAAACTGAAGACCTGCTACATAGAATGTTACCTGAGTGAGTTTAATTCACGCGATCTTTGTTAATAAAAAATATATTTATATAATATTATACGATCCAATAACTACTACTAATGTTTCTATTATTTTTAGTTATATGAAAAAATACTCGCGAAAGACTATTTCGAGGGGCATTGTAATTGGATGTTAAAAAGAATTGTTTTTAAAAGATTTATTGATATTTTCTAAAACAAAACCCTATCATATGTTTTGCGTAAATTAGTTTTGAATAAAAGAAAATGAGAAACAAAGTAGAAAAATATTAAATTCTCATAGCACTTTAAAACAATGTCTAATAATTCACACAAATGAAGCTATGTCCATTTTTTTTTTGTATGTAAATTAAAAAACAATAAAAAACGGAAAAGATAAATAATACAAGGTGAATTGCATATTTACGATTTCATTTTTATCCCAAGCGCAATAATCCACGTGTATGCATTTGCCCTTGCGATAAAAATATAATCGCGAATAATTTATCGTAATGTATTTCGAGAAATACCGACAAGCTTGAAATCTTAAAAAAATAATCTCAAGAACAAATTCTTTTCACCATTAAATGAAATAATGTAACTTTATTTCGAGTATTTTTCTATATAATAAAAAATAATGAAGATATTAGGAACAATAATAATTATTGGATCACTTGATATATAATTATTTTTATCATTATCAATGGACAACATTTCTCATACACTTTTTGTTTAATTTTGTACAGACCAGTTGCCAATTGTTTAACAAATGGTATAGGAGTAGAACCTGAAGCATTCGATTTGGTAACGATATATTTCAGCGATATTGTTGGTTTCACAGCGATGTCAGCAGAAAGTACACCCTTCCAAGTATGTATAAGATAATTGAATTCTTTGTAATGTAACTTTATGACATTATTAGCAAACTTTATATCATTTTTTTAGGTTGTAAACTTTCTCAACGACTTGTATACTATATTCGACCGCATAATCAAAGGATATGATGTGTACAAAGTTGAAACTATAGGAGATGCCTACATGGTTGTGAGTAAAATATACTAAGATATTAAATTTATTAATAAATATTTTACTTTCATAATTGATTATTTTTAATTAGGTGTCAGGACTACCAATAAAAAATGGAAACAGGCATGCCGGAGAAATAGCATCTATGTCTTTGGAATTACTTAATGCGGTCAAGCATCACACAATAGCTCACCGTCCTCAGGAAACTCTTAAACTTCGTATTGGAATTCACACAGGTAAAACAAAATACATAACGAATAATAAGAATCTTACATTGAAACTAATATAAATTAAATAATATAAAACCTATTTTTTTTTTTTTTTACAAACAAATGTATACACAGGCCCTGTAGTCGCAGGAGTAGTAGGATTAACAATGCCTAGATATTGTTTATTTGGTGACACTGTGAATACTGCATCAAGAATGGAATCAAACGGTGAACCATTACGTATTCATATTAGTAGTCAATGCAAGGATGCTTTGGATAAAATAGGTGGTTATATTATCGAAGAACGTGGTTTAGTAAATATGAAAGGAAAAGGCGAAGTGAAAACTTATTGGCTTACAGGAGCTACAGAAAAAGCTATTCAGAAAAGAGAGGTATATAAAGAATTCATTTATAATTATTATCTTATATTGTTCACTTAAATATTTATAATAATATATTCGTAACTTTGTATTAGAAAGTTTGTTATTTATAGGTGGACGTTGGTGATCTTCCACCACTTTTCTGCAGACCAAGAAGAAGTCCAAAATTTAATCCTGATTCACGTCAGGCATCATTATTAGCTGTTTTAGGTGCTGGCAGTCGAAGGCAATCTAGCGTGCCACGTCCAACTGCTGATGATTCGTCCTCACAATGTGGTGGTGGATCGAGTCCAATACCAAAATCTCTCCTTAGTCGAAAATTGGAACGATCTCCACTTTGTTTATCAGATAGCATATCCAAAAGTACATTGGAAAATAGTCCTCTTCAAGAAGAAATTGAAAATCGAGCTGTTAACATCAAGCTTGCTCTCGACGATTTTTTCACAGATGCTAAACCAAAACTGCTTGAGAATGAAAGAGTTTTATCGATAATTGCATCTTCCTCAACAACTAGCGACTATCCATCTCAAACAGTTATCAGAGAATCTCGTTCGTTAGATCCTTTTCCATTCGACACTGATACAAGAAGATTCGAACAGGAGAATTTTTGTTGGAAAGAACTGAGAAAGAGTTTTCGATCGTTGGAAAATTGTGACAAGTGTCCACGGACCAGCTTAAAAACCGATCTTGCTGGTAAAGTGTTGAATAATAATTACCCGAATGGCAATATGATAATTATACCTCACGTTAATATAACGTCAAACGATGTAGAGACTCCTCTACTTATGGGTGACGAGAGTGGTTGTATAGGAGAAATAGTGCAGGGGAAACGTTGGCGCTCTTTGGATGAAGTGACACCTGATCCTAGTAATAAAAATGTTCCCGATAAAAAGTCTTCAGCACGAAATTCAATAAAAAGCTGGCTGGTTAGTCTGTTTAATAGTAATGGAATACCCAACAGCGATGTTTCTTTAAGAAGGGGTGTTATTGCTGGATATGATATACAGTCAGAGCATGAGAGTATAGTTTGAATGAATTGTTTTTATTATCCTTACTACGCTTCTCCTTTTTAAAAGGAAACAAGTTTATGATGACGTAATAGAAGAATCTTGTATATCGAGAACGAAAGTGTATAATGTATATTTATGTTTATGAGTCATAAGCATGATTAATTGTTGCCATGTTTTTTTAGATTATGTACGTGAAATTTATATATATATATATATATACATATATATGTATGCATGTATGTATATACATATATGTGCGTGTGAAAGTTACCGAAAGTGTATATTTTTATTACCTAGATATTTTATAATTCGTACTAAACTGTGCGTCAGCGTCGATGCCGAAAGTGACTTATGTAGCGCAGGACTGTTGCCTTGCCTGTTAAAATTTTTAATCTGAGTACGCAATAGGGACAAGAAACTATTTTATAAATATCGTTCTAACCAAAGTATAAAGAAGCGCAAGATCGTTCCGATCTCTTATGAGTTAGTGTATTAAAACTTCTCGCATAGAAGAAAACAGGCTAACGCAGCTGGAGTATACGTACGTCTTCCACATACATCGTTCAATTTGCTCCATGCTCATGTTTAAAGTATGTACATATGGTGTTTGTACATAAATTACCTGCTGCATATATATATATATATATATGTATATGTATATATGTATATGATATGTATATCTATGTACACACTCGTGTATATCTATGTATATCTATAATTTTAAACTTGTTCACTAAAGGAAGCAAATTATCTGTATGGCTGTGAAAAGTGAACTAGATTGTACCTAAGGTGCTTAGTAATATATGATGTTGTTAAATGTACATAACTGAACAATAATATATCGATACAAAAACAAAGTGTAAATTAAATAGAATTTCTACCCTATATAAAAATGTAAACTTACATACATAGGGAAAATGTGTCATAATAGAAAATATATTTCCTTATATAAAAATAGATTTTAAAAACTTAAAACTTTTAAAATAATGCACGCTCTTATGTTTTTTTTTTTTTTTTATAAATAACAGCAACATATTCTTTATTTATTTCGTTATTTTACTTTTTTAAGAGATACATCGATATCGAATCTAATAAATTTGGTATGTATTTACATAATTTATATAGAATTTTAAATCTAACAGTTACAATCATAAATTAAATTTTACTACCGTCACAAATGTTCTACTGTATTATTCGTGACCAGCATAGAATTTACCCAAGAAATCTTTTGGTTTTGGATTATATGTGTCTTTAAAGTGATTTAAAAGATTTCCTGTAGGTTTCCATAGAGTTACTATCTCCTGCAATTCCATTTGACCCTAATAAAATAATGTATTTTATCTTGTTAATTAAAATAGTTGCAAATGTTTAAAATTATTAAATCATTTATTTATTTCAATAATAAATTTCTCTTATTAGATATTGCATACTTAAATATTAATAATGAAATAATATCAATAAAAAAAAGTATAATAAACTATTATTACCTTGATTATAAGTAAGTCAATTACTCTTACATCTGTCACATACTTATTCCGTAGAAATTCTGAGCGTACTTTTTCTAAACATTGCTTCTGTGTATATGGTATGTCATATTCATGAACTGTAATATAAATAAAAATATACAGGATAAATATTTGTTATAAGTGCTTAAAAAAGCATTTTCTGTACATATATATATATATATTTGTTATTGTATGCTTATATAAGAGATTATTTGAATAACTAATATTATTTTTTAAAATCTTATACTGTTTAAAGAAAAAGCTATTTACATTGATTTCAATATAATCAAAATGAATACATAATTTTATTTCGAATTATGTTAATCATTCTCTTATAGTTAAATAGGAATTTTTAGGTTAAGTAACAAAGTTGTAACTTAAATAAACATATGAATTAGTAATGAGAAATATTTTTCCACATACGCATAATAGGTATTTGTCTACACCAGGCTTTATAAAGTGCTAAAACTCTTCTACGTGCTTCAACATGATTAGAAGACAAAAGAGGTCGAACACTACGAGTAACTTGTCCAACCGTGAGCGAAGCCATCTTGGACACTATGCAGTATTCGAAGTATTATTTACTACTGTAATTTCAAAACCATATAGTTACTAAAATGATGCTCATCAAACATCAAATGAACTTTTTATAAAATAATTTTACTTACACTAATTTATCACGCTTTTTTTAATGTTTTATAGAAGTAAACAATGTATTCGTAATAAGAAACGTAAAAGTAAACTTTAAAAAATGATTAAGTTTACTTAGTTTATATATATATATATATATATTAAAAAAACATCATTTCATGTAAATTATGCATTAAGCAACATACATTAAAAATCAATTGTTTATTATTCTGATAACATGGGGACATAGAACATTTAAACATTAATTTTACATTAAGTATATACTTCATATAGTTCATGGTATAATCGATCTGCGCACGCGCATCGATTGATATACTTTCGTTTTTGTTACAGTGCATTTGGGGTTATTATAGTCTTTTAAGGCGCTCTATTCGTTTTACAAAAGAACCATGTCAACCGAATATTATAGATTTATTTACATATATTTAATAATTTATGACGTAATAATAGTATACTTTTTGTTTCTTTATAATTCTATACATTTAATTATCTAAAAAATGATTCCTTATAGGATGAGTTCAGAGTAATTAATATTATGATGTGATTTATATTTTTGTATAATTATATTATACAACTCAAATATTGTTGAATAATTTAAGTATATTGCATAGAGATTTAATTTAAAAAATTTTATTAACACTAAACGTACCAATACTCCTTACGTATATCTATTTCTACCACAGCAGATCAAAAGGCCGTTCTTCAAAAAATCATATATTTTATGATGTATGTATAGCAAAAAATGTATTATTTATGCAATAAGAATTCTTGGCTCACTAAATACCATTATAATTTATAAGAAATGCTGCTAAAAATATTATAATCAGTCATTTGACCGATCATGGTAAATTTAGTATTAAGCAGTATTTGAAATAATTAAAGTAACCAGCACTATTTAAAATAATTTTCTAAACAATATTTTAAATCAGAAATATTTTATTTATTTTATTGTATGTATATATATTTGAGAAATTAATATCATAAGGAACAAGAGTATAACACTGAAGGTGTAAGTAAAATATATTTTATTAATAATATGCCATCAGTCAAAAAGGGGCAACTGCTTCTATAATTTGCTTATGCGTAAAACAAAGTAGCACAGTGGTTCCAATATCAACGATTACTGGTAAGCATTTTGCTATCTTAAACTTATAGCAAAACTTACTAAGTACTTCAGTTACGTAATTGTGTATTAGGATCAGTTAGAGGAACATATGAAACTTGCATTAATTTTTGTTTTGTGTAAGATCCATCCGCTTTCTTATCCACTTGTAGTAAATCTTGAAATCTTTGGAAACCTTCAATGGCAACTACAGGACAGATAAGCCGACCTCCAGGAGCTAGCTGATCTATCAACTATATATACACAAAATTGTTATAATCAAATATGTCAAATCTAGAGATATTTGTCAGTTTTCATACTTTTTGTGGAAGGATTTCAGCTGCAGCTCCTACATGTATAGCATCGTAAGGCCCATCAGCGGTATGTCCCAATCTGCCATCTCCCACTAGTCGCATTCACAATGATCTGTCGTTAGTCTCCAGTCTATCTTTTATGATTACAGCAAAGACACACAGTTGATGGACAGAGATCCGTTTGATTCTTCGTGGTAATACCTACTCCACGTGGATAGATTACGAGGTTTTCACATTTTAACTAGATTTTTTTTTTTATAACTATTAACTAGACCTTTGACTTTCTAAAGATATGCATGTAATGATGGTAATACAAAATTCAAACGAATACAAAAGGGATGTCATTTAGTTTCCGTTATTCAAAATAATAATCATCATCAAAGAATGTCCTTTTCTTTTCCACGTAGTAGAGTAAACGAAATATATTAGAATACTTTAATAATCTTACCAACAAATTTAAGACGGCCATCTTGGAGAAAATGTGGACAATCCTCCCGTACATTTCTTGTAGCAACTTCTATTAGATCAGGAATATGCTCGATGCCGATGACTCGTCCACGAGGACCAACCATAAAAGCCATACAAGCTGATAAATAACCGGAACCTGAACCAACATCCAATGCCTTAGCACCATCAAACAGTTGATCGGAGAGCATCGACAATGCATAGGCATGCTAAAACAATACAATCAAATCAAAACGTTCATTTATAAATGAAGTATTTTGTATAAAATATATATAGTCGTGCTTGTGGAAAATCTCAAATAGTGATATCTATTTAACAAGCAATAAAGAATGATAATAGAGTTCAATTGATACCCCTTTGATGAAATGTTACTATATTCCTATCATTTTTATTGTAAACTTTATGAACTTTAGATTATTTATAATTAATATCAAATGAATCTAGAAATAATAGATTCAGCAAAACAATTTCAATTATCATATTTATTAAAATTTGATAAAACTTTACGTACTTGGTCCTGTCAATTGTCTTTCTCTTAAAATGTAAATAATAAGTATGAAGACAATTATAAGTATCAATATATTAACATTGCTTTAACTTCTTATTACCATAGAATACTTAGGATGGGCTTTTAACAACTTTATACACATTAATATCATCTTGATTAAGTATATAACATCAACACAATATGATTTCAGTAATATCGTAATCTATGACTCATTAAATTGACAAAAGAAAAAACAATTTACTTACCATATGTGGAGCACTGATTGTAACGTTGTAACCAATTTTTCTAGGTCGATCAAGATAAGGATCTGCTTCATGACAATATTTTGCTCTATCTACTGCGAGCATAGCAGCTTCTGCTCTGATTGTTGTTAGAATACCAGATTCTACAAACGTAATTGAATTTAATATAAACTTCTTACTAATCATTAAACACATTACATTACCTTTTAACTTTAACACCATATCTCGATTTGTCACACCATTGCAGTGCCATGCCATGCTCCACAAATGCTGCAATGTTCACTATAGATACATATGTATGTAATATTAATTTTTTGTTAACAAAGAAAGATTAATAAGTTAAAAATAGTTCAAATATCGTTAAAATAATCATAAAATACATTATAGTAATATTATTCGAATGTTTTTGTTGAACAAAGAAATCGTAACCTAACATTTTTCGTACAAAATAGATTTCTTCAATTTGGCACAAATTTCTCTAACAAATAGAATGTGCTAATTTAAACAAAATAGGAATAACTAAAGTTTTCGATAAAATTTGATTAAAAATCGAAAATGTATTCTTGATAATTATCAACGTACCTTCTATCACGAATTGCAACTGTTTCTTGACAGTTGGCGACCTTTAGGGTGTGTTGTATGTCATGAATGGAAACTAGTAGAATGGGAGGGGGATGAGAAGATCAGCTGATTAGAATTGCTTGGTATCGATTTGGGCCGGGCACGATGCGAACATACAGGTTTTGACGTTTTTACACGTTTTTCTACTTTGCTCTTCCTCGGCGAATAATTTTCAGATCAATTTCATAGTTATTCGCGAAAGTGTGCCCGGAAATTGAGTCAGGAGATTTGACAAGGCCACACTTAAGTTTTCTTTCGCGGGAGTTTATTTATCAAAAATTTGTAATACAGTGGAACACAACAAATGATTATTTGTGATAATTTTGGAATATTTCTATGGTATCATAATATATGAAAATTCTTTTTGATCTGATATTTTATTCGTCGAATAAGTATCTTTCTTAATTTCCCTTTTGTTATTTAATAATTTTTATTTATTGAGTAGGTGGTGTGTGTCATTAAAAATTGTTAAATATATCTTGTAAATCGTTTTAATCGATATAAACAATTTAAGAAATTTGAAAATTCCCGCGTAATCCATAGAAATGATAAATTTGATGAAAAATTATCAATGCGAATCGTGCGAGTAATTGAAAATTTTATCGAAACATTCACATTCTCTTATGCATATTTCCATTCGTTAAAATTACCTGTTTTCGAGTCGTAAATAATCTTTGTAGAGTAACTCGTAAATTAAACTTTTTCTAGGATACCATGGAACATTTCAACGATAAATCATCGACAAACTTCATTGTTGGATATTCAAATGAATTGATTTAAAACAAGCGCCGTGAAATCCTTCGTGTTTGTATTTTATGAGTGCGGTACTATCGAAGATATTTGAAAATGTTTAAAAATGAAGACGAAAAAGTAAAAACAAAAAAAAAAATAAAGAGAGAAAATAAAGAATGAAAAATGAAACATAATTTAAAATATGATTTAACAAAAATATCTTGCAAGATATTTGTCAAACACGAAATACGTTTTATCTAAAAGATAACGAATATTTGCCATCATGTCATTTTAAGTATGCTTTGCAATTAGAATATTTTTATTTTGAATTTTATATTACTGATACAAGTTTTTATAAATATATCAAAGTAACGAGTTAACGGATAGTATAAATACAAATGCGTCCTTTCCTTAATTTTCATTATCAGATGATAATCGTATCATCAATGAAGTAAAGATTAATTTGGTCATTAACGTAGATATTTATGCCAAATTATTTCATGAAATGTCTTATAATATTTGCATCATAAATTATTAAAAATATAATATACACAGAAATGATAATTACATTTGAATAATATGATACAATTAAAATTGTAATTAAATCATCATTTAAAACTGCACAATATTTTCTTGATATATATTTTAATTTAATTATATCTTATTTATTTTAAAAATAACAAGAATAAGTTAGATAAAAATAATAAAAGTTCATCCGTTTTATTAAAGAATAATTATTCGAATCTTGTATTAAATATCAAGAAACTTTCGTCCTTTCTCAAGATTCCTGTTATCGTAGCACAACTTTCTTTATTTTTAATTCATTAGCCAGAGAAGCTTCCCAAGAAAAATGTCCGTTTATTAATCATTTTCAATTTTTATGTTGGCCTTACTTTATTTATAAAATTCATTGAACTTAACTTTTAAGATGCTTCCAAGTTGAAATTTTCAATTATTTATTGTTTTCTGTAAGTAATAAAAAAGAGATATAAAAAACAATTAATACTTTAGATGAAATATACTTTTAATTTTTATAATAAATTTATTGGAATAATACATATCTATATGTTTTGTATTTAATTTTAATGCTTTTAAATTAACTTTATCCAAATTCATATTAATGGAAAATTTTTAAATGTTACAACATAAGAGAATTTTTGAGATATCCAAGAAACATCGTAATTTTATATAAATAAGAAATAAGAATGAAAGAGTAAATATCGTTCATCTTAATAATTTCGATTGAAAGAATGTAAATAACAAATTTCAATGTGGACGATAGAACCGATAAGAAGAAGATGCGCGGAAGACACGTTTACGTATATTTAAAAGCGAGGGGAGATGATAAAAAGTCGCGCGCGTTTAGTTGCGAGGGGTTGTCGATATCGGTATAAACTGACGTACAGGTCGTCTCAACAAGCGCGCTAAGCAAACTGCTCGGTTAGGAAACATAGAGAAGAATTCATTGAATAATTCATTCATTTATATAATCAAATAATTATTTACTTTTAGTATTTTAATATAATAAACAATAAATTAATAAATTCGCTATCATTTGAATTGATTTGATTGATTTTTATCTCTTGAATCACTTGCTCTTATATATTTTGATAATAAAAAAAAAAAAAAATAGATTTTGTTTTTAATCAAACTATTTTAAATCGGCTATATCGTATATTTAAAATCATCCAGTTTTTCTCTGTATATATACATATTCAACACAATGAAAGAGATCAAGGAACAAACGGGTGAACCAGGAAAGTTTCGACAATTTATAGCAGCTATGGTGGGTGAGTGTCGTTCGAGAAACTTTAAATTTTTATTTTATTTTATTTAACTTTAGGAATCAAAGTAAGAAAAAAGTATATGATATATATATATATATATATATATATATATATATATATATTTAAGACAAGGGTAACGAACTTTATATGATCGACTATTTTTTCTTAAAATGTGCCGCGATTTACCTACTAAAATTTTGATATTAAACACATTCCAATATTTGTCTAATGTATTAATAAATAAAAGTGAGGGAAGGGGTATTAAACCAATATGATATTTGATTTATAATATTTATTATATTTTCTTATCTTATCATTAATGGGGAGACTTCATCTGTTTAATTCCAATCATATATTCATAATTTGGTGTGTATCTTTGTTAACTTTAAATATAAAATAGCTAATTAACATAAGTATATAGATCTAAAATAAGAATAAATATTTTCGCTACATTTGGTTATAATTTTCGATTATATTATTCTCGATTGACTTATTTTTAAAAATTTTCCACAAATTCTTTAACTTGTAAAATTGGATTAGTTTGTAGAATTATTAATGTCGGCTATGATCGACCAAAAATTTTTTGCTGATCGTCTTGTTGACGATTCTTGATTTATAAATGAAATATAAAAATTAAAGAAACATAAGGTTAAAGATAAAGTAAACTTTAGAAAAAGTTTGAAGAAAATTCGATATTGATGTAAGTGGAAAGAAAAAGTCTGTGTAATTTTGTTTCTATAGTGAATCTATCAGCCATGGCGTATGGGACAATGGTTGGTTGGCAATCCCCAAGTGCACCTCAATTACAAAGTGAAAATTCGCCGATTGGAACAATAGCTATGACAGATGAAGAAGTTTCTTGGCTGAGTGCAATTATGTGTTTAGGGGGAACTATAACAACTCCGATGATGGGTCCGTTATCAGAGAAACTTGGACGCAAGTTTACCGGTTATCTGATTGCTGTACCTTTCGTGATTAGTTCTTTTCTAACAATTTTTGCAACCAGTTCAATGCATCTCTTTATCGCACGTTTTTTCGCTGGTGTTGGAGGGGCAGGTGCACTTTTTGTAATACCACTTTACGTCTCCGAAATATCTTGCGACTTAATACGCGGTATGCTGGGTAGTCTGCTAGTTTTGATGCTGAACACTGGAATTCTGATAGCTTACATATTAGGCGCTTTTATGCCTTTCAAGATCTTTAATATTTGCATCGCCATGCTATCTTTGATTTACCTTGGAGGTTTTATTTTCCTACCAGAGACACCTGTTTATTTGGTTCGTCACAATCGACTTCGAGAGGCTGCTAGGTGAGTATTTGTTAGATACCTAGGGGTATTTAATCAATCTAGATACCTCTTTTTTAGAGTTTATCCTATCGATAGAAGAAAGAAAGAGGGTGGTTATAAATATTCAGGTTTCGGTCGAAACGTAGGTATGAATATTCTATCGCAGGTCTTTGATGTGGCTGAGGGCGGGACACCAATTGACGGTGGAGAGAGAGTTACTACGTTTGCAGATTGCTACGAAGGAAGCCGCAACATCAACTAAATCCATTGGTTTCTCAGATCTCTTTAGGGATAGAGGAACGATCAAGGGATTGGTGATCGCACTAGGCCTTTTTGCTGGTCAACAACTATGTGGTATATTTGCTATGGTAAGTGTATTTACAGATTGTTAATAAAAAATTGTTAATGAGCGAGCTTTGATAACTATTATCTAGAGAGGAATTAATGTAGAAATGTGATTTGTTTAACTTTTGTTAAATTTGTTTTAATGTGTGTTGTCATCCCGATAGGAAGCATAAATCTTTTGCAAGTGTCCTTATATTTAACAAATAAATGTCGCGTTTTAAACATTGACTCGTCATTCGTTATCTGATACAAAGTACTGATGACGTTTGAAAACAATGAAATCGTTCTTTCCTAAATGACTCATCTAATGTATGTTTAAGTTAATTTATAAGTAAATACAATTATAAATAAGAATTATTTTTCTTTTTATAAATCTATATATATATATATATATATATATATATAACTGTTTATTTAAAATTTGACTTATATATAAATTAATTATCAAAAAATAATTTAACAAAATATGAATCTTTTATTTTTACAGATAAGTTATACGGAAACGATCTTTCGTATATCAGGAAGCTCATTATCACCGAATACAGCTGCAATCACCGTAGGTGCCATACAAGTTGTAGGATCCTATCTATCCACTTCACTAATGGAACGAACTGGTAGAAGACCTCTTCTATTAATATCCGCTCTAGGGATGTGCATTTGCCATTATGTTCTTGGTACTTTTTGTTACCTTCAAGAATTAAATTATGATATTTCTGCATTTGGTTGGATACCGGTAGTAGCTTTATCAATATATATGATCGTTTATTGTTTGGGCTTGGGTCCTGGACCATACGTAATTTCCTCTGAGATATTCAGTCGGGACATCTCCAGTCTGGCAGTTACAGTAGCTCTCTTTTTTGTTTGGATCGTGGCATTTATGGTAGTGAAATTTTTCGCGAATCTAGTTGTAATATTTGGCATGTACGGATGTTTCTTTATTTTGGGTACTTCTTGTATTAGCACTTTCTTGTTCATTTTTATTTTGGTACCAGAAACGAAGGGACGATCACGAGAAGATATTTTGAATGAATTAAATGGGGGTGATGCTTGGGATTCGACAACTGCTAAAGTTAAGATCTCATCGAATATACTTGCATGATGATCTTTAGAGATCGCTATAATTGGAAAAAAATGGACGTTTTGAGAGATAGA